AGCGTGGTCCATTGGAGCCAACCTAACATTACACCATGGCCCGTTAGTGTACCCAATTGAAGCCAACCTAACATTACACCATGTTCCGTTAGTGTACCCAATTGAAGCTAATCTAACATTAGAACAACATGATCTATTTGTGTACCCGTGTTAGCCCACCTAATATAACCAGGACCAAACAGGCCACATCTTGGTGATGGTGAAAGAAGTGAAATATTTCATCATTATTGATTATTCTTTTCTGGTTTTCTGATCAACACACCACAGCAACAGTACCAATATAACTCATCTTCCATATTCTATGTATAGTAATTGTACAGTAATTGTATTATTTTTGGATCGAGTGACAGTAAATTTTAAAAAGTCCAACTTATTCAAAGCTCAGCTGTTATATTAGTTAAAAAGATTTTAAAAATTTGGACATTTTGCTCGTTTTAAAAGAAAGAAACATGGGATTCAATACGACAAAGAATTTAATAAGTGTCTTGCATTGTTTTAAAATTTTTAAAGAAAATAAAGGAATAATTAATCAAACTGAACCAAAAAGGTGAACTATAAATGAATTTAATAATTTCTTTTTATACTTAGCCAATGTGAATTAGAAAGCTTTTATTGTTTATAACCAAAAATTGTGGAATTAAGTGCCTCTTTATGTAAGTAATTATGACAGTTTTAAAGTATCTTTTGATACTTTTACAGGGAATTATTAAACTTGTTAGACAGCAAAGCTGTTAATAAAAAAACAAAAAAAACATTGCAATAATATTTTTTACAGTTAAATAATCTGATTTTGCTAATTGTGGAAAAGAACCTGCTTTTTAACTTTACATCAATAATTTCTGTAAGATATCAGGCAATCATTCTGATTTCCAAAAGAACCTTTTATTTAAACCAAACAAAGCTCTTTAGTAAAGAGACAAATACTGTAACAATGTCTCTGTTTAAACAAGGCAGCAAAGCTGTCAAATGTACAGACAAAAAACAGAAAATAAAGATGCAAAATAGGTNAAAAACAGTTTTCCACTTATCGTGTTATCGGTAACAGTGCACGGCGACGACGGCGACGACAACAGCGACGACAGCGACGACAGACGCAGGTGATGGCTATATGTACAGACACATCTGTGTCTGTACATAAAAAGGGGTGGTGAGAAGTAAGGTACATTGATTATTAGAGAAACAAACATTCAAGGAAATCACAAAATGAGAAAATGTGAATTCCAGTAATCAAAAGTCATATAATACACAGTTTTGATTGAATTGCAACATGTTACCACCCCTTACTTAGCCTAGTATACCATGGTAAAGAATGCAAAATGTCCAATAAATTTCATCAAAATAATCTGATCATGGTGATTTTCAAATGCAGCCCCTCTTTTTGTCAAAAAAACTTAATTTATAAATAAAGTAAAACAAAAACAAGTTTGGCACTTATGAGGTGAACAAATGTGTCAGACAACAACAGCTATGTTCATTCACAATCCTTCCTGATACAAAAGTCAGATTATTGAAGAACATAAAAAGATTTTTGCACCGTATACATGTACATGTACATGAAGCTACCAGTCAACCAACTTGTTGACTTTCAGCAGTTGCACATTTACTGGAACCACTGTCTGCTGGCCTCATGGCTGCTGCGGAAGATTTCTGCACCACAGTTTGTGATTGCTGTTGTTTATTTGTGCCCTGTGTGTCTAGCCTCTGTTGTTGTGACTGTCTCTGTTTGAGGACATGTTGGTACTGCTCTAAAGTTAACAATCTCCCAACTTGGTCTTGAAATTCATGCAGTCTTGGCAACACTATGGCGATATAACCATCTGTATCAGGCTGGAAGATAAAAGACAATGTGTTAGGTACTTAGACATTTATATAAATTAAAAGAATTCAGAGAAGGCAGGTGAGATTACAGTCACTCAAATACTGACCATTAGAAGTAAACTGATTTCTTTGTGCTTCTGCACCAGGATTGCCTACCAAGGGTATTGCAATGTAAGGAACCCATGTACAGTATGTTCTATAGTCCAATGTTGTTGTCATTGATCACACAGGGGGTGTGGCCATCATAAACATTGCAATATGTATCCCCAGAGAACTTTACAAAAACGGTTTTGTTGAACATACATATGGACAGCAGCTATCTTCCACATTCGCAATAAAAGAATCTGCTACTACATTGTACAGCATGTCTGCATATAAAAACAATACCAAAATTAACCATCAAACAAGCCTATAGATTACTGGAAATATTTCACCTAGAATATAGGTCAAAGGTCAAATTCAAGGGCACCCTTGGATTCACAATAAAGGAACTATTCGAGTTCAAGAGTTAATATGAGTTAGTTTTGGAGATATATTAAGTGCATTGTAAAAAAGCATTTCACTTTAGAAGGTACATGTAGGTCAATGCATTCAGTGAGAGTATTGCAGAGTACTAGGAAGGATCAATCTACATGTACATGTATGTACCATCTACCAGTACACCATGTTGATAATTCTGTCAGTGCAATATTTGTGGTTCTACTGGACCATTGGACACAGTGCTTAACTCCCTTTAGCATCTTTTATCTATAACAGACCACCAGGCTACCGGCCTATTTTCATTGTTAACAGGTACAGTGTATGTACTGAGTACTAGGTACAGGTGGTCTAGATTGTGAAAATAGAGAATGAACTTAAATTGATGCAAGTATATTATATAAAAACTAACATGTACTCTCTACTCTCTTTTATTTTTGATAGTTTATATATAATTGAGCACTATACAGAAAATCTGTCAACACATGTCATGTGTACCTGAAGATGCGTTAAAATGTTTGAAATGAAAACAACAAACGTGGCATGCTCCAAAATTACCAAACTTTGGCACCTTTCCCACTATTCATACTATAAAATGGTTACAGAGCTATAACTGGAAATGGGGGGAGGGGGGGAGTGAGAAAGACCGAGCCTTTTGGCTTAGAAAGGTCTGCTCTGCATTAAACTTTGATGTAGGATCTATGCCATATCTCAAGTTAATATGGGTCAATCAAAGGAGTAAAAATTTGCAATTTTTTCAGAAAAATACCTCCTTTTGAAACAGCTGGCTACATGCCAGTGCATGTTACAATGCTCATTTTGTTTTGGAATGTAAATGAAGACCTGAAGCTGCCAACTACAAGAAGCAGAATTTTCTAAGAAATTAAGATCTTGCAAAACAGCTGTTGGCAACTTACTTTAATCTAACATCCCCAGCATATTATATCAGTGATATGGCTGTGGAATTCCCCTCCCCACTTTTACTGTGCCAACAAACACAAGGTTTGGAATGTCTAACAACATCAGAACTACTGAAAATTCTTCTCTCCACCACTTCCTGCTCAAACATTATGTAACACACACACTCTGATATACTGTTCCTCATTCACAATAATTCAGTAATGGCTTTCCTGCCAACCGGAGTCTATTAAAATTAAACTGAACTCCCTAGAGGTAATTTCCTAATGGATGTCAAGGCTACACTAGTGCTGTGATCTAAGCAAGGCTCCCTGCCTCGGGATAGCCTTGGAATAAGAAGTGCATGTGACCTGTTGCTCTGCCAAAGTTAAGACAGAATTGAAAAAAACTTTCAAGTGATGTCAAGTGCTTGGGGTTATATATCCTAAAACACATTTTATAACAAACTAATGAATGTGCATGGGGGTTGTGAAGTTACAGTTATGTATTCCAAGACACATATCCCAAAAACTACCATTTGTGTGTCTCTCTCCATTACGTGTGTGTGTGCATGCGCCCGCACATGTGCATGTATTTGTGTTTGTGTGTTTGTATGGGGGGGGGGGGGGGGGGGGCTATGAAGTGAGGTTACAAGTTTACCTCCAGAGGATGCATTTACAGGTGCCTTTAAAAAAGCTTCAAATAATGATAAAAGCTCTTGTTGTTAAGTATATCATGGATCTTTATATGAGAAAATAGAGTTCTAGTTTTTGTCTAATGCATTACAGCAATGAGTCAATGAACTAATGCTGGTAAATGCTTCCTTATGAATTGCTGAAATATTTGAGTGACAAAGGAGACTATCTTAAAGATTTTTATATTTTCAGTTACATATAAAACAGGCTTGGGTTTCCAGTAACACATAGAAACCACTTCCACTAGCTTCTTACACTGCTAAAATAAATTCCAGGTGCTAAGTCATAAACCAAATTAAACCCTAATTCTCGCAAAAATAGCTTTAAAACAGCACTTTCTTCAAATTTGTGGTTGTAAATTAATCTATTTATTTATCCCTCCAATTCGTAAAAGTGCCATAAATGACATATTACTGCGGTCACATAACATAATCATCACTCACTCTCCCACATTTGGATGTATAGCTGCATGCACAATATATTTATTGCATACTTATCCAAACGAGACTTACTGCTGAGGAATATTTATAGGACATAAAAGAAACCAGAGACATCTGTTCAAATATCATTTTTCTGGAAATTTTTGTGGCAAAGACTTGACTTTGAATGCATCTTTAAGGAGACAATGTTAAACAAGGCCTCAAAGCTGTCAAATGTACAGACAAAAAGCAAAAAATGAAGATGCAGAAAATTGGTCATTTTGTCAATTTTGATACAATAATAAATAATGCATATAACAGCACAGTCAATCCACGCTAAAATTGAATCATGCACAACAGGTACCATGGTCAATAAGATTACAGTTTCAGGACCATATGTGAGAGTTCAAATTCACAGGAAATGTGTAAACAGGTGTTTTTGGCCAAGAGTTCATCTTCTTCCAGAAAAAAAAATCTTGTTGTATTACCTTCTGTGTCAGCAGGCCAGGAGTTCTGACCAGGTTCTCATTTATCTCCACCAGATGTCCTCGTATGCAGCTGTACAAGGTGTATGTGGATTGGTCAGAACATGTCACATGACACAAAGCAGACAATTCTGTCAGCCACTGACCACCCTGAAGATGGAATATATGGAATTATTTGTTGGAGCATGTTGATTTCCTTTTTATTATCAATTTCATATTTTTTACATAGGAGAATGCAATAATATTTTGTTTAAGATGCACATGCAGAGTGTATTACTTTCATAAAATGGACTTTGACAAACCAAAAAGCATTATTCAAATAAATATATCCAGAAAACAATTACATTATCTGTGGTAATGTGTACGTTTTAAACTTGTAATACGTACCTTTTTCCCCTTCCCAGTCACCTTGTTGTCCATTCTATTTGTCTTCTTGTCCACCTGGAAGTTCACTGTGCAGACTGTCTTGTGCTGTGACAGGATAGGGTGACACCTGGCGACCGTCACCACACAAATCCTGCACACAAAATAAACATCACAACATTACCACTGTGCGATCCCTTGTAAATCATGAACAAATATGGTCATATCTTTAAAGTTGCATAGGAAATCAAATATTTGCCACTAAACCAAACCCAATGCCACTGAAAAGTTTTCAAACAGCATAACTTACTGAAGTACAAATAGGTGTCATCTGAAACTTCTCGAAAAAATTATATCTGAACACATACTTTATTTTATTTCTTGGCTGAACAGGGGATCAACGTGCATGTTGACTTTATTTGAGTCATATGTTATAAAGAAACTATTAGAAGTGATTTATATGTGAATCGATGCTCACTTTCTATGTTACTATAAAGTATAATCTTCATGTGGTTTTCACCCAGTAAAGACATTAAAGGTATCATTTAGGGCTCATTCCCACTGACCACTGAAGCTATTGGTCTACATATATCAGTCCAAATCTGCGGGGACTCTCGCTGAATACAGTCACTTTAACAGATGAACACGCCTCCTCTTGTTTCCAATATATACCATACTTGTAATAAGATTTTTGTTCAGACCCAGAGTTGTGGCTATCTGTACACCTAGGTACATGTACATGTAGCATATTAATTGTTGGGGAAAAACATTTAGAATTTGTATACCTTTACCTATTTGAGTGTACCAGAACACACTGGTCTTCTCCAGGAACTTTCTTCACATCTAAATAAACCAGAAATATACAAATAAACAGAGGAATACCCCAGTAATTCAATGGTGACTTAGTCACTGATATAGATATAATCAGAAATCCTAAAAGAAACAGCACCAGGGCTTGAAGCGATGAGCTATTCAATTAACAGGGTTCAGGAAGCCGCAAGGAGATTACTAATAACAATGTTACTGACAACTACTGCATTGTGATCTTTGATTACTTCAATTTGAACTCAATAAGAAAAAAATGCAGCTCATTTTGGTTGACCATGCAGTGCCAGTGACATAGAAATCTGTGCATCTGTTCAATTACAGACTCGAAGTAAAGTATAAGCTGCATTTCAGAGCGTACCAGGTTTGTATCTTGGAGTAAAATACCGCTCTACAACAGATGGGTGCTGGACTGTTCTTGTTTCAGCTTCAACCGGAGCCGCCGCACGTGTGTTGTCATCCATTTCCTCACTGTAAACAACATCCAGGCGGCGACACTATACGGCCAAAAACCAAGAGGAGCCGCCCCACTACAAGAAGAACGCTTAGTCCCTCGCTCATTAGTCCTTGTTGTTAAATGCAATTTGAGAAAAAATCTGTTTTATTTGGACGAATGTTTTTCTTATCTTTTCCCCTATTTTTTACACAAAACGTTAAATATTTGCTTGCTAATTCTTGTCATAAAATACAATAAGAAAGGATGCGGTGGGAGGGGGTGGGGTATAAAAATGTAGACCCCTACTTTTCTACAAAAGCCTGGATCATACACTAGAATTACACAAACTTAAGTAATTCCTGTCTTTAAGCAGTGAACTTCCTGGTGTTTTCGCTCCTTTTCACTATTCCCTTGCCTTTTTAAGAGAAGAGTAAGGTTTCTGCAATTCTAATTCTTTAAAAAATAATTTCAGTGTGTCTAATTACTCAAGAGGTAATTGAAGATGAATAGGGCCTACCATTTTATATCCCAATGCCCAATGTACAAAACAGACCGAGACACCATTTTTTTTTATTGAAATCTTAACTCTAAAAGCTGAGACAAGGTCACCAAACAGTCAATTATGCCAAGTATTTACCAGTGCCAACGAAGATATTTAAGCCTCCCTCTCCAATTTTATGATAAAATCATTCAAGAAAACAAATGAAGTGGTTGCTCTGCTTGGTATCTCTTAGCATATCCCTGAAAAATGTCAGTGTATGGCCCCACTGTTGTGAGAAGTGACTAGACAGCGGGACTAAACATGACCCATGGTCAAGAGTCTGTTTATATCTGTGTAACTGTGTTATTTACTTATCTATTTCTTTTTGTCATTGTAGTTCTCCCTTCCTTGTAAGTTTGAACCGCTCCTTTTGTGTAACATATGATTGTATCCATATGCCTTTCGCTTTATGTTTATGGTAAATTTATAATCACACCAAGGTTTATCTCACCGCTTAGCTAGAATATTTTCTGAGAATTTTGATTTACAGCTGTTCATTATATAAAGATATATATTTTTTCATTCACAAACACGCAACACAATTAATGCACCGATTGTATTACCGTTAGTATATTATATTGTAGAAAGTCATGATAATCTATGTACCAGTACAGAATAAATAAATTGAAATTGAAATTGAATTGAATATAACGTGCTGGATTACTAAATACTTTGTCAAAAGAGGACTTTTGTAAGAGAACCTTTGCAAAAACAGGATCTAGTAAAAAAAATGTGATAATAAACTTTCTTCTGGAGGTACACAAAATTTACTCTCAATAATAACAATACTGACAACAACAACCACAATATATATATATAATTTTTTATTTATTTAAAACGCACTACACATGCATCTCAGGGCTGTTTACGTATAAACTAAAACCACAAAGATTAAGTAAAAACTAATATAAAAGTAATAAAGACTGAAAATAATAAGTTAATCAAAATATTCTCTAAATAGAAAGGTTTTTAATTTCTTTTAAACTAAAACAAGAGACATCTAGAGAAAGATTCGATTTTTTAACATAATTAGACCATAAACTTGGTGCTGCAGTCTCAAAACTCCCGTGACCGTACAGAGAACTGGTGTAATGTGAGGAGACGTGCATCTGAATTTTTAAAATCTGCTTTCTGTAAATAAAATCATCGATTCTAATTTATTTTTATTAAACATGCTATTCGTGATGTGGTTGAGAAAAGAAAATTCATTGCTGATGTGACAGGAACAGTGGTCCGCCAGGAACTGTAGTTCGTTCCCCATTACTTTGTACAAGTAAAATTCGTCTCATATAGGCTACTACTGTAACCCCAATACTCCCACTAACCGTAACCTGTATTCAATCATATGGGACTACCATTCCTGTCACACCGAATGAAAGACGTGGATCTGTCATAATTAAAAATGTGAACTACTCTCGTAAGATTTTATGTGCGTCGTCCATTCCTATTTAACAGACAAACCGCTACCTCGCTCTTGTAATTATTTTGTTAGTTTATTTTTACTGCAGTAAAGCGTGGATAAAATAGTTCAAAACGCCCTCACAGTGCCATTGTTTTTACGACTTCAGCTGCTGGGGTTAGGTGAAGGGGCGAGGGGTGTCATTAATATACCCTTCCGTGAAATAGTCAGAAGAAATAATATATTATTCAGCCAGTGGAATGTCGTATCCCACTCTCCCCTATTCTGCCGAACTAATTGCAGGTGAATATGTGCTCAAAACTCTTTTAAAAATCATTTTGTAACAGGGGCGATCAGATGCAGAGAAAAGTGTTGCAACTTTACTTCATTAGAAGTTTTAGTCTTTTCAATCGTTTTTTTTTATCTGGAAAAAAATCCTATAAATATAATGATATATTCTGTAACTTTTCTAAGCTGTGCATGGAAAATAGCGCTTTTTTTGCCGTTGCTCGACCGCCCACTGAAGCTTCCTATTCTAAGCGATGGATCATTCGGCTGATGTGTCTGTGATGCGCAGCCAGCTATGCAGGACAAATTGAACATATCTTAAACATACATGTATAAATAATTCCTTGAACAATTGCAATATAATTTTATTATAATAATACTTTTGGAAGATGCTGTTTATTATAAAAAATATTGCTGGAATTTGACAACATGATAATTTAAAGCGTCTGTGCTAGAAAACCGGACAACATGTATCTAACGTTATGTTGTCAAATTCCACGTCTTTTCTCGGTCAAGGTTTCCCCACGGTTTTTTTAGCACTGTAAAAGAAAAAACTTGTCTCTTACCTCCAGAATGTAACAATACGTCTTGTGATTGACAGGGCGGGATCAAATTCATAAAATTTACTTCAATTTTGATGGAAGCTGTCATGTGCACGCGAGTTTGATTGACAGTTTTATGAACAAACGTCAATCACATTCATTACATTCTTCTCTCAGACCATGTAAAGCTCATACAAATCCCGGTTTCCAGTGAAAACCCGTTTTTTTTTTTTTTTTTTTTTTTTTATTATTATTATTATTATTTTTTTCTTTCTTTTTTTTTTTTTTTTGTGGCGCATTTGCACCCCCACCTTTAATAATTACATCTTTCTTTTCAGATAAATTTCATTACGTTACTATAATTTATTATCCTTATCGAATACTCTATACTTCCCCCGTGTCGAGTATCCCGGCGACTCCCTTCGCCACAAAAGATTTCATGTAATTATTAAACAGAGCAAAAATTGTCTCTCTTCTTCTGTAGTATTATAAAGACTTTTATACCCTGTGATTGACAAGGTGCCAATCAAATCCAGTTAGCTTTGATAGAAGCTGTCAAGTAATAACAGTTTGATTGGCAGGTTATATAAACAAACGTCAATCACATTCAATACACTCTACTGTCAGACCATGCAAAGCTCAAACTTTTACATCCTTTGATTGACAAGGTGCCAATCATATTCAGTTAGTTTTGATAGAGACTGTCAAATAATAACAGCTTGATTGACGGGTTATATAAACAAACGTCAATCATCACGCATTATGATTATAGCTGAAAATGCCGAAAGAGAGCGCTAAAATCAGAAGTTAGGATAGTTCATTTGCAAAATAAAACATTTCAAAAAAATATATACATCCCATTTCCAAAACTAGTTCTCTTTCTAAACCCTTTCAGCGTGTCAAATATGACATAAAGATGACATTTTTTTTTCTGGATGCAGAGCATGTGACATTTCAAAATTAGTATAATTATATATCTGTGTGTGTGTGTGTGTGTGTGTGTGTGTGTGTGTGTGTGTGTGTAAGAAAGAAGAAGAATTGGTTTTGCATTATGTCCGGAATTTACACAATTTTTACTGTTTAAGTCTTCTTTCCGCAAATAAAAAGATACATAAATAATTTAATAATAAATAAAAACAATATAAAAGTTATTATTTCATCTTCATTAAATGTGTTGTGGTTGAGGTAAGTAGTTTAATTCTTGCGGGACTAAATATTAGGCCTACTGTGAACAACTCCCTAGACATTTTCATGTGCGTCGACCATTCCTATTTAACAATCAAACGGCTGACTCACTCTTGTAAATATTTTGTTAGTTTACTTTATTGAAGTAAAGCGTGGATAAAATAGTTCAAAAAGCCTTCACAGTACCGTTGGGTTGCCGCTTTATTTCATTAAAAGTTTTAGTCTTTTTCATCCATCTTTTTACCTAGAAAGATTTAAACTTTTAAAATCTGTTTTCGTAATTCACTTTTTTTACCGATGCTTGACTGACCATCCATTTTACCCGAAAGATATAAATGTCAAATCTTTATTCTCATTTTTTTTCTGTCACTTATTCACTTGCTTTATTCGTGAAAAGTAAGGCTTCTGAATCTGGCCAGTAGGGAAGACCTGAGTTAGTTGACTTAGACACCATTGGCCTTGTGGAGCCAAATGAGAAAAAGTTGGGGCAACAAAACTGGCTTTAGAACGAGTAAAAAGGACTTAACTACAGATGCAACGTCGTAGTTTTGCGAAAATAATGTCACATAGTTCACAATTTGAGAAAAAGAAAACGCACAAATGATGTCAGGTGCGGGAACTAGCCCCTTGGCGGCCAATTTAGCCTATAGGTCGGGGCAAGCTGCATATACTTTAATAACGTAGCGATCCGTGTTAACCCCATGGATGTATTTTTACTCATTTTATTATCTTTAATTGATTTTGCTTAATTCGTAGTCCATATGAGGGGGTTATATTGATATCGATGTTTCCATACGTTTCTTTCAATATTCTGAATTTAATTTGTGTTGAAAAATCAAACCCACAATCCTGGCTCTTACTTGCCGCGATTCAAGCGGTCCAACTAACCGTAGGAGCATATTTTTTATTTCAAAGAATTGCAGGCGTTTTCGGTGCTAGAATAAACTTCGTTTAGATATTCCTGCGAATTTTTAAACGAATATTTAGTTTGATGACTTGTACGCATCCTTTATTTTATTACTAAGCTTTGAAAATAGATTTAAAAATCTCTTCAACATAGTTACTTTCTACTCAGATGCGGGAAACTTGCGTTTGGACTCACCGCTGAAGTAAAACCTTTATTACGACCGACGCTTTCTGTAGTGTATCTATGGACAATTAAGTATTTTAGAACTATCAATTTCTCGGACATTATTATTATTATTATTATTATTATTATTATTATTAATGTCCCCATCTGGATTTTTTTTTTTTTGGGGGGGATATTGAATCATGTGTAGAGGCATTTTTTCTCAATTTAGACACAAGCTTGGACAAGTTAGATGAGATCACACAGCATTCCTTGAGAGATTTGTGTGATAAATACTGAATATTTAAAATCACATTTCTAGGCACTTTTTTCATACATGACTATTGGGCAATATATGCCGGGACCGATTCTTTTGTTTGATGACATCATTTTGATACTTTCTTTTGTTGTACAGCTGTTGATCTCTGTGTGGGACTTGTGGAGCAGTGATGAGCACTGTAGATGGGATAATATCACTATTGTAAGCGGCCGGATGACATGAAAGGGATTTCCATTTTTATGTTTTAAGGTTATCAAATAGTAACAACATAAGTCTGCTTTTATTTTCACAGTTTATTGTAATCTATATACAGCATCATTTATCTTGCCTGGACTTGCAGACACTGTAAAAACTTAAAGGAGCAAACTGATAATTAACACTTGGACACAGTGCAGTGGTAGGACATGAGAGGCCAGCTGTACTAGGACAGGAGCTAAGGATATGTAGAAGAAAAAAAGCGTGGTTATACAACAAATGTAAAAATTGGCGGAAATGTGCATTGACATGGCAGATACAAACTTAAAAACAAAACAGTGACTGCATATAACCTGTTGTACAACAGTAATTTGGCAAGGTCTCACTGCTGCAAGCCTTTGTTCACCTGTAGACCTTTGCTATAATCTGACAACACCTAACATGATGTAAGCTTATTACATCTACTTATTGCTTGAAAGAAACAGCACATTGTCAGTGTAGATTTATATCAATCAGTACACCAATTCCAATTGATCTATACAGTTTTGAAGAGTGTGTTCTAGTGTTCTATCATAATTTTTTTCAAAACTGGATATTGAATAATACAAAATTCTTTCAGTGAAATTAAACAGTTGAAATAGCAGATACTGTTACATATACATAACCCAGCTCTGTGGGTCATGGCAATATCAAAGTTCCAATTTATGACGAAAAAATGGTGAAAGTAATTGACCTTTGAGAGAATTTGAAATAAAACATTTTTCCCAAACACAAAATAATTTGAGAAAATCTGGTGTTTGCCAACAGTGACTGCCAGTGAAGTTTGAAATGGATGAGCACTGCTTTTTTAAATATATAAAAATCAGTCATACTTGTAAAACATTTTTAAGAAAAAGTTTGGCTAATTAGGAGAGAAATTATCAAATGATGCCTCACTGGATGCAGGAAATACCATGCTGAGCAGAGCTACTCCAATGTCTGCAGCAGGCAGTGATCTGCACTGGAAAACTGGCAGAGACAAAACATACTATGCATTTCACAGAGTGACTGAAGTGATCAGAAAATACGAGATACTCACAAACAATGTCTGCACATAAAAACTAAATACAAGTGCACACTGTAGTAGGTGGACGGCAGTCTTCAATGCAACAATAACAACTCATTGCACAATGCAATCAAATAATACATTGCAAGGAGCAACTTAAAAATAAAACTACAAAACATTGGGATTGGACGGCATTCAATATTTGGCTTAGGACAATATTACCAGTACATACCATTGTGATTAATCATAAAACATAATGAAAGAATATCAGTATATATGGTAATAATAACAATATAACAATCTGTGTATAAGTTACTAATTCACTATTTTGTAAACATTATTAAATCTTAGCAGTATATACAACATTCTGAATACTCTCCTACTGTTCCAATGTGCACACAGTGCTCAATGCTGAGCTGATGACAAAGACAGTGCCACAGAACCCAGCAGGTTCAATGTACACAATGAACTTAATACTATGACAATTGAAAATATCAATTCATATTTTTTTAACAATGTCAATGGCATAAAAGCAGCAAAAGCTGTGAGATTTACATATATGTGCCAACTTAAATATTCTTTTGAAAACAAACAAACAAAAAAAATTGTTCCAACTGAAATCAGTTTTCAGTAACCACGATTCCACACATGCACATATAAATGATAAGCCTGCACACTAGGACAGTTGGATAGTACAATAGGATAGTTGTCAACACTAAAGGATAAATTGCTTATTAAAAGTATCAGACAAAAATCATGAGTAAATCATACTTTTTCTTTAGAAATAAAATTTTAACAATAAGATATGTTATCTACTAACTATGTAGTGGCAGACTGGAGTTGTTAGACCAGTATTCTACATCTAGTGTGATGTCTTAGCACTACGTCAACACTGTCACCAGGGACTGGCTAGAACATACTGGCATTTGGTTGCCATGGAGATAAAAACAGACAATGCCACCACAGTACCATTGTTTTACATAAGATATATATAAAAATTAAGTCACATTTGCAAAATCACAACCATATAATAATTTGGTCCCAAATACACAAGCATACATAATATCACAGTGTCAGGGCCTAAACCATCTGTATTGAGAGTCTGTACACAGTGACTGTATAAACACTCTATAGAGATCTTCAGTGTGCATTGTCTACTGTACCTTAACATAACAACAAAGCTGACATACATACTGATATCTAATACACTTAATCAGTGCAGTAATTCAGATAGTTCCATACTTGTGTAAACATGCACAAGGACCTCATCAATAACAAATGGCTCTCCTGCACAGCTCCACTGGACATCAGCCATCTTGCTGGAGGAAATCTGGGCAAGATTAGAACACCAAGGTCAAGGCCATGGAGTTCCCGGCAGGGGAGTCATACAGACATGCTAATGCTTTTTGGGTACATAACTGGATTTTTAAATAAACAGACTAACTTTGTGATTTACTGCTAAAACAGGAATGTGTTTCTGTAGTGAGGAGGTACATGTGTGTATACATGGAGTAGGGAAGATTTAGCTAACCTAATGTGCTCTGTATAGAGTGGAGTGGGGGGTGGGGACGGGGGGGGTGGGGGGGATGGAGGTACTTACAAATATACTGACATAGTGTTTAAGTAGTAACCTTGAAAGATTCTGTATTTTGTTGTAACCTGCATTGAGAGAGTGAGGGAAAGTGTGTATGCGCACGTACGTGTGTGTGTGTGTGTGTGTGTGTGTGTGTGTGTGTGAAAGAGAGAAACTTTCTGCATAAAAAAATATATGATTTTCATTGAGCAAAATTTATCCTGCAAAGCTTGCATGGATTGAACAATTCCTTACTTTTTCCTCTCCATTAAGAGAATTTCACATTTAATAATGTTTGCATTTTGACAGGATATCTAAACATTTCAAAGTCTTTGTCCAAATATTCCCCAGAATGAATTTCTTCTCATTCCTACTGATGCAGATGTCCTGACTAACTCTCCTTGAACCTAGTGGCAGCTACAGTGTACCAGCACACAGCCTAGAAACTCTCTCCTTGTCATTCTATGATAGAAGGTGTCCTCCTAAAGCTATCACTGCCCCCTATAGGACCAAGAGGCATTCTCCTCTGATGTGCATTAGGAGACATGTCATAATATCCACTCTCCACCAGAACACTCTCTATGATGGTATGCAGTTTTTCATACGTTATTCCCTCACTATCATGGTGCTCCAAGGTGTGTGTGATAGCTGGTTTTTCTGTATTGGTGGTCACAGCATCTTGCTCTAGGCTGGCTTGCTTACTGAGCATGCTCATGTCACTTGGGCCAAAGTTCAGGTCTATCACCTCCTGGGAGCCTATCAGGAGCTGGAAACACACATTACCATATACTTAGTGTACATGGATAGTAAAAAAAATGAAAAAAGTTAGCTTTTAACTAAAATGATTGCCAATCAAGAACTTAAAACAAACTTCACCAGTTTGTCAGAGACTGGGCAGCCAGTTTCACTGATACATTTGGACAAATAGAGCCAGTTGATTTTATCATAACATTAAAATAATGTGTCTGTAATATTAATACACCATTCTGTAGATCAGTTACACCTATAACTTGGTGCCCATGTTGTGCTGGCACTAGTACTGTCCCAGGCTAGGTTTGTGCAGAGCAGTTCTCTCTGCCAGGTCTCATACCTTCTTTAGTTCACTTTTCAGGTTGAAGGAGGTGCTCTGTGGAGCAAACATGGCTCTCTTGAACCGCTCTATGATCCTCCGCCGGGGATTGTGACACAGCGTGGGAGGGAGCTACAAAGAGAACATCAGTGAACTGAAATCCAGATTGGATTCCTCTGAATCTTCACAATGCACCCAATCATACAATAAGCTACATGGAGTTCATATGTCCAAAAATGTAATGAAAAATTATAATCCTGACAAAATTTAATTACATGACTTTAATGTAGATGACCTTATGCAGTATGTACTTACCTGAGTGATGTAGATGATCTTATGCAGTATATATGTACCTACCTGAGTGATGTAGATGATCTTATGCAGTATATATGTACCTACCTGAGTGATGTAGATGATCTTATACAGTATATATGTACCTACCTGAGTGATGTAGATGATCTTATACAGTATATATGTACCTACCTGAGTGATGTAGATGATCTTATACAGTATATATGTACCTACCTGAGTGATGTAGATGATCTTATACAGTATATATGTACCTACCTGAGTGATGTAGATGATCTTATACAGTATATATGTACCTACCTGAGTGATGTAGATGATCTTATACAGTATATATGTACCTACCTGAGTGATGTAGATGATCTTATACAGTATATATGTACCTACCTGAGTGATGTAGATGATCTTATACAGTATATATGTACCTACCTGAGTGATGTAGATGATCTTATACAGTATATATGTACCTACCTGAGTGATGTAGATGATCTTATACAGTATATATGTACCTACCTGAGTGATGTAGATGATCTTATACAGTATATATGTACCTACCTGAGTGATGTAGATGATCTTATACAGTATATATGTACCTACCTGAGTGATGTAGATGATCTTATACAGTATATATGTACCTACCTGAGTGATGTAGATGATCTTATGCAGAATGTGGAGGACCTGCAGGATGGGGTCGCTGATCTGGCGCACCTTCCGTGGAGATATGGTCAGTGTGGCTGTATTGGTGGCACTGCCTGGAAAATGAATAACATCACTGCTTGTACACAGCACAGCACATAACATAGAAAACATGGTCACACAAAAATTTAGTACATAATACACATGACTGAAGTTTTAATATAAAGCGATCTGTTATATATACTTTTCTTGTACTTTACATATCATTCCATACAGCTCTCAGTGCACATCATTATTTTTCTAATATCTGACAGCATCTGTCCTGATACATCAACTGTTCATTTCATACTTCTTATTCTTCATATGACTCAATGTTTTCAGTCTTGTCGGGATCAAACTGACAGTGTAAAAATTTAAATCAAAAGGAATAAAAAGGCCCAGAGAAAAACGAAACCTAGTTATTCTGAGACTGTAATTTTCCAAAACAAAAATAAAAGCTCATACTTGGCCTCATCTTTCCAGCAGAATTAGAATGAATCCTTCTGTGGCTATTGCCCTCAGGAGTGCTGACTGAGCGGTGGAAAGTTTCATGACGGTTCTTGTCCAGCTTGTCGGCCATCTTCTCTGGTTTGTCTATTGAGCATGTGGCGCTGGGTGGTGAGCTGTTGTTTGGGGACGGCTCTGATGAACTGATCCCTGAATCACGACTGCTTTTGCCCACTGCAGCTGGAGATGATACAAAGAAATTAAACAAGACTGAAGAATACTACAGACTTCTTTCAGACATAATAGAAGAAGACTTGAAGAAAAACTATGCACAGGATTATTATTGTTTTTTTTTTTTTTTTCAATATTTTACTAATGAATGTCATAGTCACATCTTAGGGCAATCAGCATTTTCTAGGACAATGCCATTTCATTCAAGTTAATCCAGTACCCTAGTATCATTCTTTTATTCTGCTCCTCAGAATGCCAGTACATATGGATGAAAGTGTATACATGAAGGTGCTAACAAATGACTGTTGATTAGCATTTTTTAATGAAAGATAACATTTGGAATATTTTATTGTTAATTCAAAATGGTCACCTAATATCTGGCTGCATATTATAAAAGAGCTGAAAGCAAAATCAAAACAAAAGCAGAGATAAACTATCAGCATGAGCATAAATTTGGCAAAAACTGGTAATATATCCCTCATTTTCATCATTTAAATTATTGAACTGAAACCACGTACTATTTCCTGGAATGTCTAGAGATAACTGTTGAGCGAGATGGTCCAGCTTCCTCCTGGGTCCACCTTGACTACCCCGGGGGGTGCCAGGGGGGCGGGGCACAGCAAATGTCTTGTCCTCGCTCTTCACCATCTGTTGTAGTCCAGCTAGTGCTAAACTGCCAGTGCTGCTGTCCCTGCTGTCACTGCCACTGGACTGGTAACTGTCATCATCACTAGCCCAGCCTGCACACACACATATATAACCTTAGCACTGATTTCTCATACAGCAATGCTAACTATCAAATGAAAGATCTGTTGGCTTCATTATACACTAAGTTTCAAAAATGGAATAATTTTGATAAAGTGAATAAACATAAATAAATGAAATATTCTTTTATACAAACTGGACTCACGACTGTGGCTTCTTTGCATCAGAATTAGTTTTGTACCAACTGACATTTGAACCACAAGTGACTCACCTTTTTCTATTCCATGTCCATTCTGTTCATCACTACTCTGAGAGACTCCCCTAGGTTTCCTGGTGCGCATCACTCTGCGCATGTTTTCAAATGTCTCTCCATCAGAAAACACACTGTCCGCCAAGTCTCCGTCCTGTAAGGCAACCAGTATTCTGACAATTCCAAACCAGGACAGTGTAGTGTATTGTTTAGGAAACAATATTTGACAAATGGACAATTTGATCTTTTGCTCCTTTTCTCCCAAAGTTATACTGACTTTGTTTTGAAAACAAAAGAAGAAGTATCATACATTAAAAAATAGAACTATATATATCATGGTTTGTTAACTCTGTGCATGCTCCAGTTTTTAAGTATGAGCACCTTAAGGACATATACCCTGCTAGTCAATATCAGGTGATATAACAGCGTTCTATACAACACATTTAACATGTTAGTCTGCACTGCAGCCTTAGACTTAGGGCTATCCTACCTTGATACTAGTGGCGCCTCCACTCCCAGCCAGGTTAACCAACTTGTCATAGCGCTCCTGGTTGGCTAAGAACAGCCGGTGGTAGTTTTGCATGTTTTTATTTGCTTCCACAAAATGTCTGGAGAAAAGAAAGCAAATATACATACTGCCTCTTAAAGATGTAATAATGTGTAAAATTATACCAATGGTCATTTCATTCAACCATTATTATTAAACAATCATTATCTTACTTCTGTGTTCTTTTCCTTTCCCTTTCCAGCTTTTTCTCCAAACTGATCTGGTTGGCTTTGATGAGATCCAAGTGCTGTAGGATCTCTTCAGCTATTACTCCAGCTACCTGGACTATATCTGGGCGCTGGCTGGGGTCTGCTGTCAGACAGCTGGAATGATAAGAACCAAGTTTACAGTTCTGGCAATAGGAACACTGCCTCTGTATCAGGCTCATTACTGAGGGATCTGCGCAGATAATGAACTTATGACAGCTTACTGAAAGAATAAACCTTAACACTTATAAGTTTAACAAAAAACTGGCACTTAAGAATGCTGTAAATTTGCATGTGAAAAAAGAAAAACAAACAAACAAACAAAAATACAAAAATATAATACAAATTGATTTTAAATAATTATGCTAATTTGAACCTTCACTGCCTTTTGGCAAAACAAAAACTCTTAGTAAATTTAGAACATAACAAAAAAGTTGTTTTTGCAATGAACAAACTTTTCTGACTGTATTCGCCTCAGCAAAAATGCAACAACATGGACTGACACATTTAATAGGAACATAATGCCACTGTAAGTGTCTGCACATAAAAAGTATCAAGCATGTTATATATGAAGGCTGTATTAAATTGGAATTCAAAGCAGAAAAAATGCATAAACATGAAAATTGTAATCAGTTATCAATTATTATCTTTACCATTTGATGGTCTTGCTCACTTTCTCAGAGTATAAGCCCTCTGGCAGGGGCGCATAGCTGGCTTCAACAATCTACAAGTAACAAAAATAAAAAACTTGGAACGTAAGGCAATAATTTTTCTTTTTTCTTTTTAAAGATTTAAATATATTCAGCACAGAAATTGTTAGTGTGTGTGTGTGTGTGTGTGTGTGTGTGTGTGTGTGTGTGTGTGTGAGAGAGAGAGAGAGAGAGAGAGAGATATTGAGCTAGCTTACCGCCTTGGCTAGTGATAACATGCTGGTGTTGTAGAATGGAGCATTGAGAGTACACATCTGGTACAGTATACAACCAATGGCCCAGACATCTGCCTTCTCTCCATATGGCTGGTGCTGGACTATCTCAGGACTATAATAACCAGGCAAAACATCAACACTTCACTGTGTTATGTCTGAATCTCAAGTATAAACTGAGTGCCATTCTTTAATGTAAAACTAGCAGGCTATGTTATTGAATAAAAAGTGTAAGAATGGTTCTTATATCATAAATGAAGAAATAATATTTCAACATATTTCCAGTATTTAAGCTGTTACTGACCAGGCATACAATATAGTTCCAACCACTGAGGTCATCTTACTGGCATCTTTCTGCTTCTGCTTGGCTAGACCAAAGTCCGCTGAAAATGACAGCAGTTTTCTTAATCAGGAATTTGTACATGTCTTGTTTTCCACTTAAAATATTTGTGCATCTGGCTTATAATTTGCACTTTAACATTTGCATACTTTATCTTAACAACACTGTATCTTACAAATATTCACAGGAAATGAAAAAAATCTACACATACAATGATTAGGAGCAATCACTGATTATACCCACACTGTGGTACTCAAACGGTTCTTGTGACTAAGGTGGAAAGTCGTTAATGAGGCCAGGAGATATAGGAATGGGCAGGAGGATTTGGAAAAAGGCAATCCAAAGGGAGATGAGTACCTTACCAGGTGTGGGGGGATGTATAAAAAAACAAATTGAGAACAAAATGGCAAACAACTCTCAGTTGAAGAACTCCCAAAATTATAATGAAATGTGTGACATGAACACTACCACTGGATCATAGATGGCTGTGGGCCATATGATACATGACACAGAGCATGTTCTTACTTATGGTGACTTGATCTCCTTCCCCCAGCAGGATATTGTTAGGGCTGAGGTCTCTGTGCACTATGTGTCTGTCCTTGTGTAAGTAGCGCAGGGCAAGCACCAGCTGTAAGGAACAACAACAACAGGGCATCAGTACAACACCTGCTGACATGACATACCTGGGGTCCAGGTGGTCAAGTACAACACACACACACAGACATGGAGACACACACACATACACACAGACAGACGGACACACACACACACACACACATATACACACACAGACAGACAGACACACACACACACATACACAGACACACACAAACACATACACACACACACACACAGACAGACATACACAGACACAGACACACACAGACACAGACACACACAAACACACACACACAGACACACACACAGAGAGTTAGTGCCGTAAACCATGGTGAGAGAGAAGACAGGTTGGTCATAACATACTAGCTATGTGTAACATGACTCAGAAGTTTACTTTAATAATAACAATAATAATANTACTGCCAGTGCTGCTGTCCCTGCTGTCACTGCCACTGGACTGGTAACTGTCATCATCACTAGCCCAGCCTGCACACACACATATAGAACCTTAGCACTGATTTCTCATATAGCAATGCTAACTATCAAATGAAAGATCTGTTGGCTTCATTATACACTAAACTTCAAAAATGGAATAATTTTGATAAAGTGAATAAACATAAATAAATGAAATATTCTTTTATACAAACTGGACTCACAACTGTGGCTTCTTTGCATCAGAATTAGTTTTGTACCAACTGACATTTGAACCACAAGTGACTCACCTTTTTCTATTCCATGTCCATTCTGTTCATCACTACTCTGAGAGACTCCCCTAGGTTTCCTGTTGCGCATCACTCTGCGCATGTTTTCAAATGTCTCTCCGTCAGAAAACACACTGTCCGCCAAGTCTCCGTCCTGAAAAGCAACCAGTATTCTGACAATTCCATACCAGGACATAAGTGTAGTGTATTGTTTAGGATACAATATGTGACAAGTGGACAATTTTATCTTTTGCTCCTTTTCTCCAAAAGTTATACTGGCTTGTTTTGTTGTGAAAACCAGAGAAGAAGTATCATACTTAAAAAAATATAATTCTATGTATCATGGTATATTAACTCTGAACATGCTACAGAGACATAGTGAGTTTTAAAGTATGAACATCTTAAGGCTATATACCCTGTTAGTCAATATCAGGTGAAATTACCCCCTTTTATACAACACATTTAACATGTTTGTCTGCACTGCAGCCTTAAGCTTGGACTTAGGGCTATCTTACCTTAATACTTGTGGCGCCTCCACTCCCAGCCAGGTTAACCAACTTGTCATAGCGCTCCTGGTTGGCTAAAAACAGGCGGTGGTAGTTTTGCATGTTCTTATTTGCCTCCACAAAATGTCTGGAGAAAAGAAAGCAAATATATGTACTGTAATAATGCATAAAAATCATACTAATGATCATTTTATTCAACCATTTTAATTAAACAATCAGATATTACATTATTTTTATATTATTATTATTTTCCATTTTGCTCTTAAAAAGTAAAAGATTCACATGGTTTCTATAAAAGCTAGTTTGTACAACTGTTAGGGGCTTATCTTTAAGCAAATAGGATGAAACTCTGCAAACAAGAAATGCCATCTTAGAAAGCAATACAAAAGTAACACACAAAAACAAGGTGATTAAGTGCTGTTGTGCAATAGTCTGTAATTCTACAGAACTAAAAACAACCAAAAAAATATCTGTCAGCATTTTCCTTTAACCATTTTTCAATTGTTTTATAGTCTGCCCTTATTTCTGATCCCACTCATCCAAATCTCGCTGGATTTTATGCCAAGTTGCAAAACTTTGGGCAGTTGCTAAAAAGTAGAAGTTTCTGTAAGAATATGAGACATGAACAGATGCCATCTAAAATTATCTTACTTTTGTGTTCTTTTCCTTTCCCTTTCCAGCTTTTTCTCCAAACTGATCTGGTTGGCTTTGATGAGATCCAAGTGCTGTAGTATCTCTTCAGCTATAACACCAGCTACCTGGACTATATCTGGGCGCTGGCTGGGGTCTGCTGTCAGACAGCTGGAATGATAGGAACCAAGTTTACAGTTCAGGCATTGGGAGCACTGCCTCTGTATCTGCACAGATAATGAACTTACGACAGCTTATTGAAAGAATAAACCTTAACACTATTAAGTTAAACAAAAAACTGGCACTTAAGAATGCTGTAAAATTGCATGTGAAAAAAGAATGATTAGAAAAACAAACAAACAAATAAACAAAAACACAAAAATAACAACGAAAAATTTTTAAAAATAATTATGCTAGTTTGAACCTTCACTGCCTTTTGGCAAAACAAAAACTCTTAGTAAATTTAGAACATAACAAAAAAGTTGTTTTTGCAATGAACAAACTTTTCTGACTGTATTCGCCTCAGCAAAAATGCAACAACATGGACTGACACATTTAATAGGAACATAATGCCACTGTAAGTGTCTGCACATAAAAAGTATCAAGCATGTTATATATGAAGGCTGTATTAAATTGGAATTCAAAGCAGAAAAAATGCATAAACATGAAAATTGTAATCAGTTATCAATTATTATCTTTACCATTTGATGGTCTTGCTCACTTTCTCTGAGTATAAGCCCTCTGGCAGGGGCGCATAGCTGGCTTCAACAATCTACAAGTAACAAAAATAAAAAACTTGGAACGTAAGGCAATAATTTTTCTTTTTTCTTTTTAAAGATTTGAATATATTCAGCACAGAAATTGTTAGTGTGTGTGTGTGTGTGTGTGTGTGTGTGTGTGTGTGTGTGTGTGTGTGTGTGAGAGAGAGAGAGAGAGAGATATTGAGCTAGCTTACCGCCTTGGCTAGTGATAACATGCTGGTGTTGTAGAATGGAGCATTGAGAGTACACATCTGGTACAGTATACAACCTATGGCCCAGACATCTGCCTTCTCTCCATATGGCTGGTGCTGGACTATCTCAGGACTACAATAACCAGGCAAAACATCAACACTTCACTGTGTAATGTCTGAATCTCAAGTATAAACTGAGTGCCATTCTTTAATGTAAAACTAGCAGGCTATGTTAATGAATAAAAAGTGTAAGAATGGTTCTTATATCATAAATGAAGAAATAATATTTCAACATATTTCCAGTATTTAAGCTGTTACTGACCAGGCATACAATATAGTTCCAACCACTGAGGTCATCTTACTGGCATCTTTCTGCTTCTGCTTGGCTAGACCAAAGTCCGCTGAAAATGACAGCAGTTTTCTTAATCAGGAATTTGTACGTCTTGTCTTGTTTTCCACTTAAAATATTTGTGCATCTGGCTTATAATTTGCACTTTAACATTTGCATACTTTATCTTAACAACACTGTATCTTACAAATATTCACAGGAAATGAAAAAAATCTACACATACAATGATTAGGAGCAATCACTGATTATACCCACACTGTGGTACTCAAACGGTTCTTGTGACTAAGGTGGAAAGTCGTTAATGAAGCCAGGAGATATAGGAATGGGCAGGAGGATTTGGAAAAAGGCAATCCAAAGGGAGATCAGTACCTTACCAGGTGTGGGGGGATGTATAAAAAAACAAATTGAGAACAAAATGGCAAACAACTCTCAGTTGAAGAACTCTCAAAATTATAATGAAATGTGTGACATGAACACTACCACTGGATCATAGATGGCTGTGGGCCATATGATACATGACACAGAGCATGTTCTTACTTATGGTGACTTGATCTCCTTCCCCCAGCAGGATATTGTTAGGGCTGAGGTCTCTGTGCACTATGTGTCTGTCCTTGTGTAAATAGCGCAGGGCAAGCACCAGCTGTAAGGAACAACAACAACAGGGCATCAGTACAACACCTGCTGACATGACATACCTGGGGTCCAGGTGGTCAACTACAACACACACACACAGACATAGAGACACACACACATACAGACACACACACACACACACACACAAACATACACACACACACATAAACACACAAACATACACACACACACACGCACAGACAGACACACACAGACACACACACACACACAGAGAGTTGGTGCTGTAAACCATGGTGAGAGAGAAGACAGGTTGGTGATAACATACTAGCTATGTGGAACATGACTCAGAAGTTTACTTTAATAATAACAATAATAATAATAATAATTTTAAGTCTAAAATCCATTAAAAAGATGTTCAGTAGACTTTACATAAAAGAGACAAATACTTATGAACTCAATTTCAAAGATATATAAAAATTGTGATTCTAGATAAAACCAGGATAATTCTCACATAAAACCAATTACAAGTACCATAATCAACTGCAAAATTTCCCCAAAAAAATTTTAAAAATCCTTTTTAAAATATTAGTTGATTCAATGAAGGGGGTGTCAATAGTAGCATAACCCATTAAATTGGGCCAGATGACTTAAAAGAAATGTCCCAATAAGATTTAAGACACACATTACCAGATTCATTAAAGTTGGTATACTGATTGCAATTTTCTGGTAGGAACATAGTGAACAACTGAATTGTTTAAGTAAGTTGATAACTTTAGCATATCTAATAGATCTTATATAATCCGGTCATATGATGACATTATTCTGTACCTGAATAAAGATATGCCAAATCCTCGCCTCTTCAAAGCGTGCCCCTTTTTCCTTAAGAGAGATGAAGTGGTCTCCTATAGGAGCACCCTCTATATACTCCATTACTATGTACAGTTTCTCCTCTGAAATGTGGGACATAATACATATGTATAATATCTTTCTGGTGCATTGTGAATGAAGACAAGTGGGTTCAGTGCCAACACTATATACACAAAGAATGGTTGAAGTTTACAATTAATTATGATTTCAATACACTTCACATAGAAAAAGCTCATTTTGTGAGAATCACCTTTTGTAACAACCTAAATTATTTAACAACTAAAAAACTTGTTCTCTATTGACAAAGGAATTTCACTGTGTATTATATACCTTCTACAAAAGTCTTGTAGTATCTGACCACATTGGGGTGCTTCAGCTGTTCCTTGATAATGGTCAGTTCACTGATGATCTCCCCAACACTCTTATCCTTCTCCTTGCTGCTACGACCAAACATCTGGTTCTGAAGATTGACCTGATTTGAAAAATAAATATGTTGTTAAATTGATTTATTTTTCGTGACAATGCCAAATATACACAAATATAATACATTATACAATAATGTGATATAATATTAGATATACATTGGAACATAGTAACTATATATTTGTCTGTCACCCACCTATCCTCTACTATCAAGAATTAAATGACTAAACTTACTAGTGTATGAAGAATTTTATGATTTTACTCACTAGCATATCAGGGATTTAATGTCAATTCTTACTTGTGTATCAGGAATTTAATGAATATCATAATACTAAAATATAATTCAAACAAATGTTCAGCATTTAAACACACTTTTGGCTGTTATTTCATATTCCAACACTAGTGGGCTGGATTTGGTCTTAAAGTGCAATTTAAGATCACAAGTGCTCTTACACGATCTTAATCATAACAGCGGTAGTCTTAAAATGGACTGAATCTGCTTTTAAGGTCAAAAATGATCTAACATCTACTTAAGTGGTCAAGCAGTTTCCTCCCCTCACAATGGGGGCGCCTCCCCTCGCAATAGAGGACACCTCTGCTCACTATAGGAGAATGTGTAAGGGGAGACAACTTAATTAGCTGTCAGACCAGAAATGGCCTTACTCATGGTTTAAGATCATGTAAGACTATTTGTGAACTTAAATTGCACTTTAAGACCAAATCAAACCCACTAGTGCAAGCAACTTGTACAATCTATTCAATTCTTTAGTTTACCTCTTTCAAGGCCAGGAAAGACTGTCCTGCAGTTTTCTTCTTCACCTTGTACACAGAGCCAAAGGCCCCACTGCCCAGGTGTTCTATCAGGGCATACTCCCCCACAAACTTATTGGGTGTCTTGTCTTTGTTGGTTTGTAAGATGTTCTCTCGTATTTCATCTATTTGCTCAGCCTGGAGAACGGACATATATAATACAATAATGCTGTCACGAGTAATATTGGCGCAGGAAATGATGCAGTAATAATGAGGAAGAAGATCAAAATATCAACATGTAAGACATCAATGCTAGGGATAACTATGGCAGGGACTTGGTGTCTAACCTTGCACTGATGATAAGGCTGAAGATCTCCAGGCTTTAAAGACACTTTAATACATTTATTATAAACTTTACGTTTATAGAAAACAAAACCGACTGTTAACATAAAACCTTAATCTTCCGGTAGTGTGCATGACTCACAGGTAATCCATTCAATTTGTCCACCAGAGGTTTGTAAGCACTGATGTCCCTGACGTAGTGGCCTATGTCAATGAACATCTCAAACAGTTCTGGGGGAAACATGCGTTTGAACAGTCTACGATTCCTCTCCACACTGAACAGGAAACGCAGGGTACGGAATGCATTTTTCTATAAAGAGAAAAAAGTTGTAAGATGATAAATAAATATTCTTACTTGTAGAATAAAAGATTTTAAATTAATATGTCCAAATACACTGAATATTTCTGAAGTACATTAATTTGACAGGAACATAAAAACAATTTCAAAGATTTTCAGGGTATTTTTAGGCCATCATGCAATTACTTTTCAAATGCAAATAAGGACAATGCATTGTCATTTATAAGTGAGCATACTTAAAAAAAGACAAGTATTTTTTCAAATAAACTCTGTATTTTTTTATAACAATGAGGAAACATAAGAACTTAAATTAAATGATGTCCAAAAAGGGTATCCTCCCTTTATGCAAATTAATGTCTTTTTTCAGATAAAAAAACTACAACATTTAAAAGAATTTTCGACAAATTGCTAAGTGATCAAATTCATGTACTTCATGGCAAAAATGACCGAACATAAGCCCTTTTTAAGGCTAATAGTAATATAAAAGTATGTTTCAAGACCACAAACTGAATTCAAGGTGCAGGGCTAAATTCAAGCACTTTTTTAAAAGTTTTTTTAATGGACCCCATAGACCATTGTCAAGTGCAGCCACAACACACAAACCTCTATAGCCTCAAACACACAGTTATGAACACTATAGAAAATAGCAGAATCAGGACAATCCCTGGGACAATATCCCCTGTAATTGAATTATAATACTGAGAATGAACTATATATTAAAAACAAGACCACAAAGCTGAAAAATGTACAGTTGAAAAGCATAAAAAATTGATGCACAAAATAAGATATTTTTTTCAATTTTGATACAATACTACATGGTGCTTAACTGCACAGTCAACACACCAAATTATTCAAATGGGCATTACATGACATTTTTTCAACCTAACAAATAATGCCATTTTATCAATTTTTTTAAATCAACCGTCACTTTATTTATTTATCTGCATATCATGTTATAGTAAGTGAGCTCTCTTAATAACAGGTTATTAATAAGTTCATAGTAATAAATAGTATGCAATAATGAAACAAGAAAAAGAAAGCAGACAGTTTTGAAAGTCATTTTCACACTTCAAACTCTACAAAATTATATAAATGCTTCAAAAAGATAATTCAAGGCAGTATATTTTTTCCTTGGGGAGGGGAATTGTCCTGGAATCAATATATATCCATGCATTTCAATCCACACACACACACACACACACACACACACACACACACACACACACACACACACACACACACACACACACACACACACCTGTAAAGTCTCCACAGCCTTGCTGTCTCTCTCAGCTGCCTGTTGTGGTAATATCAACAGTCCCAGGAGGTAGATACAGTTATGTTGTACTATCTGCTGGGCATTGGTGTCAGTCAATACCAACTCTGTCAGTGCAGCACAGCAGGCTACAGAAAGGTAGACAATATAGGCAAATCATTATCATATTACTGTATTGTAGATACTTTTCTTGTATATTTAACACTGTCAGGTGTGAAAATAATTCAATAGGTATGTGAAAAAACAACAGTTACTGTATACTGTTTAAATCATCAACAAATAAGATCAAACTTTCTATCATTCATAGTGGAAAATTCAAAGTTACGAAATACTTTGACACAATAAAGAGCCAAAATTGCTACATCGCAGCAGTGCTTTGGTCACTCTGAACAAACAACTGTCTCCAATACCTCAAGACCAAAATATCACACATATGGTAAAAATAAAGAAGGCCATGTAATAACTCCAAAAACAACCAGTATGTAGCAAATTCTGGTTCTTTCACCAATTCCAAAAGTTATACTGTCTTCTGCTGTCAATTGTACATGGTTAAGCTGGAGATCTCCACTGCCCAGTACTAGGTCTAGCACACCAAAGGTCTAGAATGGCAGTATGTCTACATCTCTGATATCTACTACTCACCTGCTTGTAAAGATAGCTGCTGCTCTCTCATTTCATCTCCCTGAAAACATAATAATATCAAATAGTGGGTTTTGTAAATTATTATTACAATTAGGCAATACTCAGAGAAAACATGATATCCAGATTGAATACAAAGGCTGTATATAAATAAAGTCACAGCATGTACTCAAGCAATTATTGCAGTAACTTACTGTTATCAAACTTGACTGTGACTGTCAGTTGTCATTACTGTTTAATAATACACCTTACTGCATAAGACAACTTTACTGCAAAAAAGCTCTGCCTTATATCATTGTATATTTGATGTATGTATAAAGTGGAGATAATCAACTGAAATCACAGTGGCTACAGACATAGTGGGGGAGGGGTGGCAGGAAAGGCAGTTATTGGAGAATGTTAGGTATTATAAGTGTGGAAAGTCCTCATGATCAGTTATTAAGTACTGAAAGTCTCCACATCATGTGCAGATATAGAGCCCATATTACAAGCAAGTCTGTGCAGTTGTGAGTTAGTAAAACTCATACATAATAATACAATGTGTCAAGCCATAATGATATCTTTATTTTGTTAGGTGCCAATGTTAGCATATCAATATTTTTTAAAATTACAATAAAATGTCAGTGTTAGGCACACTTCACCACCTTCACATACAACAACACTGCAAACAAGGAGTCTGACTAGATCACTGGACTCAACAACATTATCACTTCACTGTTTATCATGTGCTGAACTTCAGTAAAACACAACTCTGTGTGAGGGGAATTACTTGGAAATTAAGCAGCAAATACAGAACTGCACCTGTACAGCAAACAGCTTTGCAATATTTTTAGGCATTTTATATGACAGCTCACTAAAAAAGTGATTAAACTGTGGCTTAGAAATTTAAATTCTGAATAACCTTACTTTCTATTTAAGCCCAAAACATCACTTTCAAAAATCAGAAACAAAATGGACCATTTTTATTTCTAGATATGTAAACAGTTTCTATGCAAAATATCAAGTCAGAAGTTGAAGCCAATTACAGTTTGTGTCTACCTGACCATGCTGCAATTTTGAAGAAAAAAGGCAAACTCAATTTATAAGTTAACCTGGTAACACCATGTGTGCATTGCAACACCTTTTAGACAACACTGGTCAGGAATATATGTGCAGACCCAACAGTATCTGTACATAAAGAGTTGATAGCAATGAATGTGTGTCACAAACAAAGAACACAACACCATTTATAGCACATGCCAGCCCAAACTATTGGTGTAAAATCATGCATGTCAAACATTAGAGGACCACAAACCTTAGGTTTGGAATTTTCCTGATCACGCTTCAATATGCCCCAAATATCCTGCAGCACAAGGAAACCACACAGGTAGAGAACAGAATGGATCCACATGCAGACAACTAGGCATTCACTTATTTTATGTAATATTTTATCATCTATTCTTATGACACAAGTAAAGGCAAGTTAAGGCTCTGGTATATCAGTACTGACAAATAAAGCAAACTACAAGGTTCAAGGTAAACTAGACAACTACAGATGACGGTGATCTGTGATACTGACTGGATTTACACACAACTTAGGTCTTTTTCAGATGCTGTATTTACACCAGACATAGTCTGAGTGAAATCACCAGATAACCAGCTCCACCTGCTGAGCTGAAGACTACTTCCTCTATCTTGTCCACTTCAACTTATGTGTGAGTGTATGTGTGCTGGATATGTGTGTACACACACAGATGTGCACAAGTTATATAAAATGTGTGCTTTTATATGAGTATCTATGTGATGCTGGAGAGCTTTTGATTTCTTGTACTCAAATGAGAAATGAAGTTTCAAGTTTGACTGTGGGAAGTGAAAACATGTTTTACCTCTTCATCACACATACTAACTGAAGTCAGAAAAAAATGTCTCTAAGAGTTTTGATCATGCTTCAGAAGCAAACCCTACGCCACATCTGTGACAGCCTACCTCCTCTATGGTCATCTGAACCACGTGTGGTGTGCGCCCATGTACAGCAGCACTGGCGAGGCCCGTGCTCACACTTGTACGATCTGAGACAAACTTGCGATCCCTGAAAGCAGAAACAGTTGTACCTCTTCAATTTACAGACTTTTGTCATTTAATGTAAAACAGCATTTACTATAAAAGTTAATTTACAAGCTTATTAATCTTTTGTTGCTAAGTAGGAGAGAGGGCTATAAAAATAACAAGTTAATACTACAGTTCACACTTAGCAGATCAACAATTTTGCCTTCCTTTGTTCTAAACTTCTACACAGGTCCCAATCAAATGTGGCGGAACACATATTTTTTCATTTCCCCCATATAACAGTAAACAACCAGGCAGCAAAAACCACTTACTGTAACAAGGAGATGATGAGTGGTATTCCTCCCATCATTCTGATGTCATCACTGGTGTCAGGGTGTTCAGCTAACTGGACCAGACACCAGACCACATTCCACAGTAGTTTGATGTTATCACTGTGCAGAAGACTGAGATAGAGTGGGACACCATCATATACCTTCACCATCTCTCTCACCTGAGGATCTGCACACAGGATACGTAATAGATTAGCAGCTAACCTGGAATAACAATAATCCATTCAGTAAAATATATGTTAACACCACATCACTTTTCTACTTTTTGGATATGTAATGTTCATCAATCCTACTTTTTGTATTGTCTAGCTAATGAAGTGTTTGTTTTCAGGACCTCTTAGAATGTTGGTTAAATGCTTCAATGCACAGTTAACAAAGACCTGAACATTTCTTAAATCATTATTTTGTTGAGTCTACTGAAAATTTTCAATGGACTTTTAAACTTAAAATAATAATTACTGTTCTCATTGTTAACTAAGATATTTTCTTCTATGAGTTACTGTGTCTGACAAGCATCACTCACTGTTTTGATAAGATATCATAATCCTGTAGTATTCTGTGTAAAACTTCGATGATGTTGAGCTGTCCTATCATAGACCTTGGACCAGGACTGAAACATGAACAATGTTATATCTTATATCAATGATGTTAAGCTGTCCTATCATGGACCTAGGACCAGGACTGAAACATGAACAATGTTATATCTTATATCAATGATGTTAAGCTGTCCTATCATGAACCAGGACTGAAACATGAACAATGTTTTATATTACTACTGAACTAGCAGTGTGTGCAAAAACTAAATTCTTACTTCTGTAGACAGGCTTCTTTAATTGACTTTTTCTTTCTTTTTTTACATGATCAGTAATTTGAGTAAAATAAAGTTAGTACATTAAAAATTCAAATTTATTAATGTATCTTATGTAAAAAAAATCAAACAAATTTTATAATTATGAACCAAATTCATTTCAAAGACATTTCTTACTTTTTATAACAAAGTGTTTGCAATGGTATATGTACCCAGTACAGGTTATGTGTGACTTATATATCACATGCTGTGTGTGCAAAGCCCCTTTGAGACAAGCTAATCAAACCCTCTCCTTACCTTTGAGACAAGCTAATCAAACCCTCTCCTTACCTTTGAGACAAGCTAATCAAACCCTCTCCTTACCTTTGAGACAAGCTAATCAAAGCATGCAGTGAGCAATGTAACACGACCACGTCGTTGGCAGAGAGGAGGAGCACCAAAGGCTTGTGGGCGCTGCACGCTACCAGCCATTCTCGCTGCTCAACTACCGCAGACAACTTTTGGAATATATCTAAAAAAATATTTTACAATTATTACTGTGAAAGAGTAAAAAATACAAGATAAAATTTTGATGTGCTTCCACTAGTGTCTACAAATCAAAAGAATTGTGTAAAGAAACATAAGCTATTCTAATAACTCAGTAAAAGAGCATTACGGTAATATGCCAAACAATTCGACCAAGATTAATTAATTAATTTCATGGAAATGTCAGTTTGGTCGAATTGATTAAAATACAGCAAATGGAAACCTTTGATATCGTCGGATTGTTAGGGGTATCTGCCAAAACGTCCATCTTTCCGGAAGTATTGCATTTTACCGGAAGTGTTACGCAAGATAAGCCGCAATTTTCGCCTAACACGTGTTTCAGGCTTGTTTTATCCTCCTTTTAAAATCTTATTTTGCTGTGTACAATATGTGCTAACATTACTTAACATTAAAAAAGACGACAATAATAATTTCTAATTATATATTTCCCTCACCTACGATAATTTTCATGATGCGCTTCAAGAGTGGGACGAGTATTTCCCCAGAGACGGGTGTTGTAAACAAAGGCCGGTCTCTTATATTTGAAACCGGTAGCTTTAGTAGACTTAAACTAGTTATGTGATCTACGTTCGCCCTATTTGAATTTTAATATGACAACTGAAATCAACCGAATTGAAATTTTTTACCAGTCTGAGATCAGTTGTTTTCAACCCGCAAGGCTTGCTCAGCGTCGAGGCGTAGACGTACTTCCGAAGAAAATTCAATCACCCGTATCAAAGAATACCAACTGGCACTCAAACAGAATTCAGTGTAACTTCAAATTACTTATAAGTATTTTATTTAAAAAGCATGTCATATTAAAACATATTGAGAAAAGGCAAAATACGGAGCCTACCTGTGCCGATAGACATACAGTAGGCCTATCTTGCTGGCACTCTTCCGATTTTCTTACTTATATACTCTCGCTGTGCACAAACCACGGTGCATATTGAAAACCCCACTGATACAACCCGAACGTAAAATAAGCATTTAATTGCCATAATTTTCACAAAACAAGTGCATTTATAATTTGACGCGAGAATTGAGCACATGCAGAAATGAGACAGGTCTTAACTGGTCTGGTCCAGCATAGCGCAAACCACATGTTAATGAAGACGGTCCCATTTTGGGGGAGGGGGGTCACAGGAATGGAGTTCTTCGTGGATTACGCTAAATATCATCAACATTTCATGCATCTGGGGAAATAAAAAGTGACTCACAGGTAACGTAAATATCCAGTGGAACTCTCTATGAAGCTCTCATGGAGTTAAGGAAGACGTCATTTTTATTGTTGACAAATCAGTTATCCATGTAGGTGAACAGCTACACGTGTTCGTCAGATTTTGACAGCGCGTGGTATTTGGCGCCAAGAAGTCTGGGCGGTC